ACTTTATTCCAGCTCCTCAACATCTTTACTTTCATGAGGGTTCGGTAATTTCCAAGAAAGACTGGTGCACAAATATCTTTACTGTGCAACTGCCTTTATTCGAACATCCCAGAGAACCAAACGTATAAACACCTGATCAAATTTTGCCCAGGATTACACTGATACAGGTCTCCAGCAGGAATGCAAGGAATTGAGATAAGCAGAAGTATTCAAACATGTGACATTTCAATAGCAAAGGAGGCTATAACTGAGATTAGCATAATATCCTAATTTTTTCATCATGTCATATCTTTTTTAGTGCTCTGCATTTACAGGTGGATGACAAAGCACATGTCTTATGTGTTTTGAAAACTGGCTCTTAATCTTGAGGAAAGACCTTTTACTAAATCCTTGGCTATCAGCTCTGTAATCTTGCTCAGATAAAGTTTCTGTCCCTCAAGTACTGATGAAAAACCTTTCTTTCCTTTTATCCCCTCCCCCCGTAGTTTAGAAAATTAGATTAGTAAAGGTTCTTGTGTGATTCTGCCATAGGAGCCAATATAGCACCTTAAGAGTCCCAAAGAGACAGGCTTGTGATATTTCACACATCTTTGTGTGCCTTTGTTCTAGGAATGTCTATGATTCTATAAGTAATGCTATATTATTCACAGTGTCTGGATATATGCAGTAAAAAAAAAAACACCTTAATAAATGTGGACAAATGCTTATTTTAACAAGTACTAAGGCAGCCTAATGGGTGCAATAACTTAAAAGAATGATAAATTTGCCTTAGGTTTTCTGTGCTTCTTTATAACAATGAATTCCCCCACACCCCCAGCTTAAAACTTATTTTTGTTTTGTTTTTTTCTGTATTCTTCCTTTTTCCCTCACAAGAAAAGTGACAGGATCTGTGGAAATGATCTGTAATTAGTGTCAAGAGCTTAGTTTTTCATACTAACATTTCTGCTAAAAGATAATGAAAATGTAATGCAGGATTTTATTTTATTTTTTAAAAAATGTTTGTGCCTTCCTCCCCTCCACTTCCAGGGAAAAACAAAACAAAAAACATGTTGGTTTCTTTAGCAAAAAAACTAAACAAAAAAGTCCTGGGAAGAAAATCCCAATTAGTTTGACAAAATATAGGCAATGTACTACTGGGGACTTGTAAGCAATGATGATGGTAAGCGGTGTGGAAGGCTGTTAGGCAGCCTTCCTGGGAATACTCTCCAGCCTGGAAGCCAGCATTTAGGGGCTTAGAGGCCACAATAACAAGACTGAATGGGTAGTAGATCATGGAATGCAGCTTATTTAACTCAACATGGGATCTATAGCTTCAGCAAAGAAAATAGGAAGCAGAAAGAGTTTGACTCATCTCCGAGACCCAGAGAAGCAGGGCTGGGGGTGGGGGGGATGACAGCCAGAGAGATGAACCTGCTGCTCGTTGTTTACACAATAAAACAAAAGCAGGAAATCAATCAGTACTGTAACAGCTTTAAGATTCTGGGATTTATATTATGCCTCATTCCAGGCCAATATTGTCCCAGGACCCTTTTGCCCAGTGGAACATGGTTTAGGGGAGCAACAACTGAAGGCAGAAATGTGCCCATACTCCCATGAGAACCCACAATACCAGACTGTGATTATAGGATTATAAACCTCACCTGCCCTGGGGAAGGTAAGAGTCATCAAAGATGTCAGGGTTCTAGTGTAGGTATTGCTTGCAATTCAGAATCAGGGGCTTCTAATTTAGGAGTGGCAAGGTCATGTAGACAGAGGCTATTTCTAATTAGTGACTTGCTTTGGTCAGCAGATGTGGGGTGGGTCTCACACAAAGGATCAGGCGCGCAGGCTTGCCCCTGTGATGGAGGAGGCGGGTGCCACGCAATGTGCGCATGCCCTGCGTGCACACCATGCAACATGCTGAAGTCATTCATGCTCACGTCACTCGTGCATGCCGTGCAACGGGCTGATGTGACATGAGCAGGCCACGCAGCAAGCATGAGTGATGTGCACACATCGCCACGGAATATTGAGGGTGCCCCACCCCCTCCTGGAATATTTTGGGGACTTTGGTCCCCCGGCCCCCGCTAGATTGTGCCCCTGCACAAGATGAGCAGGAAACAAAGGGGAAGTTATGGGTGGGTGGATTATATGGCTAAATGGACACTTTAGGATAGGAACTAGAGATAGGGAAGGCGGGTGCTTAAACTCAACATTTATTTTGTATGACCTATTGCTCTATCCCGAAGTCACTTTCTCTTCCTGCATCAAGAACCTTTGGTTTATCTTTTAGTAATTTTTTTATCTTTTCTTCATTAAAAGCCTTGTGATCTGTTTATTTACCACCGCCAAATCGCATGCTGCCTTGAGGGCCCTTGGGAAGCTGCAGGGTTTTAGGCTGAATGGTGTAACAGCATTGTAGAAAATAACTTTCACACTTGGTGGCAGTAATCTATTAAATAGGGAAGGGTGTGTGATCAGAAGGGGACATTCTGTTTAACTGGATCTCCTTTCTTCACACGACACAGGTTCCAGGGTGCAGCTGAGGTGCTGTCACACTATGGTTTGTGGGTAGGCATCCCATGGGCTATAGGATATTCTGGGGTTCCCACTGACAACCACACATGGAGAAAGAGGCCTTCCTAGGGAGAGGTAGATTCACTGCTAGAAGTACTCCTCAAAAGCGGCAAAGCTTTCTGCCACCATGGCTGCCCTACTAATGGTACTCCACCATCAGTGGAGCCAGAACTGAATGGTTGGCTGACAGGTCAGGACAGCTGAGGATTTGCAGAATCCTTAGTTCCCCCAACACTCTCCCAAACAGAGCTGGAAACCATGCAGGCCCACAAGCAAAGGGGTGGGAATGGACCTACACACACACATGCATGCACACACACACACACACACACACACACACACACACCCCTTTAGCCCTGGCTGGTGCAAGCCAGCAGAACTTAAGAAATGGCAGTAAGTTCTGCTGCCGATCTCCCACTGCCACCACCCCCGTGATTCCTCTGCCCCTGTTGAGGATTCATTCATGGCTGCTTAGTGAACAAGAGACTCCTGCTCCCTTCTTTCTTAGTTGATATCTTGAGCAAAAGGAGTGGACAAAGAAATGAAAGATGGTGAAGCTGAAGCCATAGAAATGTGAGGAGGACCTGAATCAGCAAGCCCAGTAGCCATTCAGACCAGAAAGCTTGGGGCAGATTTGAAAGAAGAGATCTAGCTAGGGATGACCAGCAGACCTATTGCAGCTTAGGGAAACCACAGAATCAGAACAGGTTGGATGAAGAGGTGATGAGCACATGGAGGAAGAATAGCAGCCTGTTCAGTTGCCCAAGGATGCAAAGAAGAGCGAACATTCTTTCATCTTTCCTCAGAGGGATGTTGATTTGCTGTGCTAAAGTCTACAACCAGCCCTCTCATAAATGAAAGAATAAGTAGAAAAACCATGCCACCTGAATACAGCTGTCATGACCCTTCAGTGCATTTACTTGTAAATTGTCATATTAAAGGACAACTCCCAGTTCTCACTTGACTTGAAAAAGAAAGACTGTCAAGCTAATATTTTTAATTGGGTGATTAAAACATTTCTTTGAAAGATGGTTAAAATAAGTTTTCTTTTAAAAAAACACCTCAGAACTTTTAGTAGATGGATATTTATATAAGATATTCAGTAAAGAAACTGAGTGATGGCATCTGTAAAGAAATTAATGAAATGAACTATTAATAAATGTCTGCCAATTATATGATATAATTATACTGTTAAAATAGGTATCTTTTCCCCTTCCTTTCCATAACACTTCCCCTTGCAGTAACATTCAGTCCTCCTCATATTTATACTGTAAGTAGGAATGGTGTTTTCAGTCTCTGGTGTGATTTTGAAGATGGCATCGATCCTTTAAATAAAGCCGTCCACCAGCTAAATCATCCACTTGTCACAGAGATGGAAAAATTGCAGAAGACCCAACACATACGCTGCTGTTTTCATGTTTGTGAACTTTTCACCCACATTCCCAATGCTATATTTCGATGGGGTGAGGCATGAACATATTCACTAATTCACTGCAGTGCTGTTATTAAATGCAACAGGAATATATATATTTCCTGGGATTTTTTCTGACACAGCAGTTCTAAAGGTCACAGCCATCCCTCTGATACATGGTGATGGAGTTCATTCACTTTATTTGCTAGAGCAGATCGGCGACAAAATCTATGTCTGAAAATAAATATTAAAACGGGGGCAAAGTGGATAGCATGTAACTTGGATAGTGTTCCTGAGACATTATGTGTGCTAATAGTAATTACTCTGCTTTCAACAAACTAAATAGATGGAGATTTTAACATGCCCAAATGTCTTTTCAGAAATAATTTAAATAGCAATACTCTGTGTACGGTGTGGTGTGAAAGTGAGGTCATACAATATACTGAGGAGTAATTGGAAAGAAAAAGAAGCAAACTGAAACTGTAATATAAAAGTGACCCGGACTGGTCAAACTATACATTATGTAGACTCAAACTATATGTTTTATTAATCATCACCATTTGATTGCACAGATGCACTCTAGGTAGACTTCAGAAATGCCATTTCCATTTAGCTTCTCTATCACCAAATGATATCTATTCACACATTCCCACAGCACAAAAAAAGGAATGCAGTCATGTGTTATTATCCCATTTGTTGAGGAAGGTCTTTATGTACACGGCTTACAAATGCTAACCATTAAGCAGTATATAAATGTTTTTAATAAAAAATAAATGTTTATTTGCCTGACCTACAGGTTCTAGCCATATCTTACTTACCGTACTTCTGAGCAAAGCTGTCCAGGGCTGAGGCTTAAAGTACAGGGTGCTCCACTGAGGACAGGGACACAAACCTTGTTCATGACTTTTTAATATGCTTAGATCCACAGGGTAGGAAAATGTTCAGATTGTGCCATTTGTTCATTATTTAAAAGGGACAACCAAGATTTTTAATAGACTTTATGATCAAACACCACTATATATTTCACTATATATTCAATATCTGTAAATGCTAGCGAATGAAACATATATATATATATATGTTTCATTCGCTAGCATTTACAGATATTGAAATGCCCCATGATGAATGCTGCTTTGAACATAAACAGAGATGGCATGGGCTGATACAATTAGTTGAAATTAGTTTTACATGTTCAAGGCAGCCATACCATTTGGCTATTGCTCATTCCATTTTCATGAGAATTTGCCAACCACACGAAATGGCTGAATAAGCCGAAGCTCATCCAGCCATTATACATGGTTGATAAATGGCCATGAAAATGGAATTTATAAAGGTGCAGTGTACACATTGTAATCCAACTCGGCATATAAATTAAATCCATTAAATCTTAATGCTTACCTGGACCTTTCTTTAAAAGAAAGAAAGAAGGAAGGAAGGAAGGAAGGAAGGAAAGAAAGAAAGAGTAAGTTTCTAGCCTTCCTAGAAATAAAGTTATAAAGCAAAATGTGCAGGTGCCCTTCAAAGCGATCGCTGTAAAATGAGCCAGCCTAGCTGCTCCTGCCTTTTGCCAGTGAGTGAAAATCATAACTGTGACTAATCAGTGAGTTGTTTGACACCATGCAGCAGAGGCGCCAAGTTTGAGGAGGCCCAGGCTGTGCCAGTCCTCACAGCATCTCTGGACCCTGTGCAGACCAATGCGACCTTGTGCTAGTGCAGCCTTCCATGACGCATGCAAGACCCCCTCAACTTGGAGGGGACTGGGCCCCCTTCAAACAAATATTGAGGGGGGCCAAAGACACCTCAGTCCCATAGAGTGGGTGCACCTGCCATGCAATATGAATCCCACAAATCCTAAAGAGCTGCTGATTTCTCCTTCCCTTAAGTGCAGTTTTCCTGCTTCTGTCTCATTTTCAAGTCTGTGAAATCTCTGCAGTTTGCCCTTTCTTTTTTCCTAGCAATCAAGGTGCTTTCCCCCTCCCTGTGGTAGATTCTTCTGAGATAGCTACTTCCTCAATGTTATTTTCTTCAAAGACTATGGCTCAGTAAATGCCAGTGGATGTTAAAGAGTCAGTCAGCCTCTCCCAATGGCAAATGCAAAATGGCCAAACTTTGCAAGGAGAATTGGGCATGACTCCTGTTGCGTAAGAGCTAAAAACCAGACACTCTCTAAGAATTTACTGTATAGCTAACTTAAGTACAATGGTATGCATGTCTCCTCAGAAGTGTGTCTCTTTGTGTTTAATGGGGCTTACTCCCAAGTAAGTGGGTGCAGGATTGCAGGCTGGGTTTGGCCCTGGGGGGAAGCAGGAGCACACAAGTCATTCCTTGCAATTAAGAACCACTAATCTGGGACCTGAAAGTGTGCAAATGTTGTGGAATTAACACTTCAAACTGAAAACAAAATAAAACAAAGGGACCTGAGAATTAATCTGGGCACCTGGATGCTGTGTGCCTGGCCATCTTTAACTCAAAGTGACAAGACCTTTTTCTGTAATAGAGCTCAAGCCAGAAGAGCACTCTAATTTGAAACATTGATTGCAATCAGAGAAGTGGCTACTGTACATAATAGCTGCTCGGTTCCCCTTTGTGCTCCACTGATGTGACCCAATTTATAAAAGGCTCAGCACTGATGCACTGGAAAGTGGTGCATTTAAGGATCAGCTTCTGGGGATGTGGACAGCTACCTATCCTTGCTGCTGCTTTCTCTAGCTGCTTCACAAAACCTGTCTGAACATTTTCCAATTTCGCATGCAGCCTTTGTAATTTTATTTCATTTGCATGTGACTTTTGCGTAAATATAAGGAAAATAAGAATCCTGGGAGGAAAAGGTTATCTTTTAGGTTTCCTCTTCATAACCACAGTTGCAAATCCACATGACTACGGCACCTACCCACTGAACACCCACTGGAAGAAAAGTACTCTGTTCTGTTGAACTGATTGTGATTTTTAAAAGAAGTCTTTTTTCTTCTTCAGTAAATCTCTTACAAAAATAATCTATGGGAACCTCTGTTTTCTCAGTACAAACTCCCACCCTCATGTTCTCACTTCTCCACAGAGACAACCAGTCTTTAATAAATCCATGGACACACATCCTTCCAGAGTGTCCTCTGTGTGGGAAATGGGGTTGCCACCCACACGTCTTTACTGTGTCTTAGATGAGAACTCTGGAAGTGAACTGTCATCCTGGAGAGCTTCTGCTAGTCAGTGTAACAAATACTAAGCCAAATGGACCAAAGACCTGACTTTGCAGAAAACAGCTTCCTATGTATTGAGATAGATAGATGATAGATGATAGATAGATAGATAGATAGATAGATAGATAGATAGATAGATAATAGATCGGAAACGGCATCCAAGTGACTTCAAATTTGTCTTTAATTTTTGGACTTCTGATGGACCTGCGATGCTGCCTGGACTTTTCGTCATGCAACGCAAGTTGGCAAAACTGGGCATGCCTTCCCAGAGAAGCCCACTGTTTTCCAGTGGCATGCCAACTTTGCTCAGGCTGCCGCTATTTCACCTTTTTGTATCTCTGGAGATGACAATAAGACCCATGCCAGAATTGCTTATGATAAGCAATAATCATAACTTTCCATTTGGAGCACATTTAACATCTGGAAAAATATATGCAGAGATCAGGATTGGGCAGTGTTATAGTCGGATCTTGTTCAAACATTTACTAGAAGATACAATAATTCAGGTATATTCAGATATAATGCAACTCTTCAGTGATCAAACGTCAGAGGGGGGGATCTATGTGAATCTGACAAATGTGTTTGATACTGAGGCCAAAATACCATATTTAGTTCTAGTCTATTCATTTTACCAGTTTGCACATTCATAGTCTTCACATAATCTATTTCAGTTTCTTCTCTTTGCATGGTCTTCTGTTTCTAGAATGATTGGAGGTACCATAGCAGCTGAATTGCTTGATTCTGCTGCCTTCTAGTGGACCTCTGAAGCAATTCCTATGTTAAATCTTTGCTCCCACATTTCTTATTTGAAGGAATGCTAAAAATTATATACCTGTCGTTTAACGCTTGAAGTCTTGCTCTTCTTGCTTTACTTAGCTGCTCAGGCAATTCTGATTTTGCAACCGCATTGCAATACTCATGTTTTTGCTTCTCTTGGGCAAATGTGACATTTGCAGGACAGATGAGTAATCCTTATTTCTCAGATTCTCAGTTTCTCTCTGCCAGTGTCATAAATGTGGCATTAAGGAGCAGCCAGCAATATGCTGTGTGGGGAGCAAAACAATTCCTCAGTGCACTCATCAGTGGATACTGAGATTTCATATGGAGATAGCAAATGACAAAATAATTCCAGGTGAATTTGGACAAAGCATGTGAGAAATCATGATGGCAGTCAAAGGACACTCAACGGGCAAACGAAATGTCCCAGAAAGTTATGCAGATTGCTAGGTTTCTATGCTTTTTCTCCCCTGGGTGAATGTGGGTGTTTATCCCCAGGTGAAGCATCAAAGGGATTTCAAAGGAATATGAGAGTTTCCACCCTCCCCTGGTGTTCCCTTGCTTTCAGAAAACACCTGGTGAGTTCTTCATTCAGATGTGTTCACTTCTCTTCTCATCCTCAGAGCCCTTCTTGGATCTATTCATTCAAGCTGTCTTGCTTCCCCACGAATCCCTCTCCCTTCCTTCAGTTAACCCTGGCCTTTTCCTCCTTGACTTGCCACCAGAGTGGCTAGCTCCAGCATGCTGCCTTTTCCTTCCTCACACTTTGTGTGCAAGGCTTGCCCAGAGCCTAGTTCTTTACTCTTTTCCTTTTATGCTCCTCCTTCTCCATTTTCAGTCCCTCCCTGCTTCAAACCCCTTCTAAATGTTTCACCCACTACACATTTATCCTCTCCTGGTGAAGCATCTCTCCTTCTCCAGCATGGCCGCTCTGCCCAGCCTTTTGTGGTCTCTGTTTGGCTTCCCTCAGCAGCCGGCCCTCAGGCTGACAACGTGAGTAGGGAGGCGTTGCGCCAACCACTCCTGACAGGCATCTAAAATAGCTTTGGATAAAAATACAACTTGCAACACAGATGTACTATGACAGGGGGAAAGGGGAAGTCTATATATTCATAAGCTGATTTAAACTCCAAACATCCACTGTTTACGGAGCAGGAAGCCTTGGTGTGCTGATTCCGTGGGCTAACCGAAATGTGAGGTCCCAGTCCAGTCCGAGGTCGAAGGTGCAGTATGGAGGCAGTCCATAAAAGTTGAAGCTGGATGCAGGGCAGGTAGTCGGGTGAGGCCAGGAGCTCCAGCAGGATAGCAGGACAGGGTTCAGGCAGGAACTGACAACCAACAAAGTTGCTCCCGCAACTTGGGACTGAGGCTGGCTGGCTTTTATCTGCCCCGAGGCACAGGGCGGCCCCGATCCTCAGGTGACTCGCCTCTCCTGGCCTGGAGGCGAACACTCCTCCTGCAGGAACTTAGTTCCCTCCGCCTCTCTGCCCTGAGCCTCTGCAGCTCAGGAGAAGCTGGAGGGTAACCGGACCCAGAGGCAACCTCAGCTTCCCCTGACGGGGCTGAGAGTGGAGCACCTGCAGGCAATGGATCCTCCACCCCCTCAGGAGCCCAAGCAGACTCAGCTGGTGCCTGCACCTGAGGATCCAGCACAGGTGAGGACCCTTCAGGCTCATGCCCCAGCCCCGGCTCAGCTGGTTCTGGAGGCGGGGACTCCTGTGCAGGCTGGGATTCCTCAGGTTCAGCATCCGAATCCCAGGCCATCATACTTGGCCACTCAGATATAGCTAAACTTCAACTCCTGTCCTTCCTGACCATTGGCTATGTCAGCTGAGGTTGATGGGAACTGGAGTTTAACAACATCTGGAAGGTGTCAGACTCCCCTTGATGTGACTGGTGTCTCCATATAACATTGCAGCTTCCTAAAGAGATTTTTTTTCAGAGATAAGAACAGGAAACATTTATTTTAAACAACGAAAGGGAATCAGATAACTTCTTGTAAATCTGCATGCCAGATGTAGATTGCTTATAAGAAACAGATTGTGACTGTGCTTCTTCGCAATTTACTTTTCAAAATTTATTTAGGGGATATTCACTCATCTCCATGATTGTTGTTATTTAGGTGATAAGAATATGAATG